GGAGGACCCCAAGACACAGTCTCTCTCCTGAGAAGCTTCAGGGGCTTACGCTGAGCTGGAGGCTTCACACCTGTAATCAACCTCCGTGGGATAAGGGACCTGCTCTTGCTTTAATCGGTGGTGGAGGGTTAATGCCATCTGCGAGATGTTGCCCTGCCCCAGTCCCCTCTGGTCCTGGGGATGAGGTTTAGGGGTGCCCTGGGCATGAAGCCACCCCGGGAGGGTTTGCATGGACTGTGGTAGAGGAAGGCAAGAGCTGCGGCTCTGCTTGTCATTGGTGCCTGGGAGCAGGGGTGGCACTGAACTGCAGTGATATCCCCCTCCCCAAAGCGTGGCTCCAGGGTCTGTCTGTCTGTCTGAGCAGGTGGGAAATGTCTGTGCTGGGGAGCGGTTTTGGTGCCTGGGATCCCCCGGGCTCTGGGCAAACCCCGGGAGGTTGCTCCAGTTCAAGGGGTGGCCGGGAGGGAGCGGGTCAGGAGGAAGGCAGTGCCTGGAAAAAAAAATCACTTTTCGGCTCTGCCCAGTGCTACCCACGCGCAGACCCCGTGGGGCAGCTCCCGTGGGTACGGGCACGGCTGTGCCTGTGGGCAGGGGTGAATGGCGCCGAGCCCGTCTCCCCTGGCTCGGCCGGGACATGGGCAATGCTGCCACGAGGCTACCCAGCAGTGCCCATCGTGGCAGACGGTGCAGCACAAGAAGCAACCAGTTTGTTACTGCATTTTGTATTGCAGGGATGCCGTGCAAGCCCGGCCGGGGCCGTGCATCCCACCTGCGGCCAGCGTGCACGTGGGGGCCAGGAAATCCTCCCAAAACGTCCCAACCTTGTTGCAATTGCAGGCAGCAAGCAGCCTGGAGGGCACATGTCGGGGAGAGGTGTCAGGGTTTGGGCTGGAAGCGGCCAGCTCTCTGCAGGTCCCTTCCCGGGTGGTGCTGAGGTCCCTGCTCCGTCCCCCGTCCCTACCCTTGCTGGCTCACCTCCATGATGTCCTTAATTACGGGGGTCCATCGGGAGAGCTGGTAGGTCTGCTCGCTGATCCGCTCCTTCCGCTCCGGCTTGCTCCGGCGGCGCAGGGTGGACTGGGCAGAAAGAGCACAGAGACACCCTGAGACACGGTGGCTCCGGCGGTGGGATCAGGGCCACCCCAGAGGGGTGCTGGGGGCATCCCGGGGGGTACACGGTTCCCATAGCAGAGTGGGTGCCATGGCCCTCCCAAGGGGCAAGGAGGGCTGCGGGGAGCAGGAGGTGGACACTCACGTCTGTGATGATGGGCACCCCGAGGTGGGCCATGTTGGTGATGATCTCGCTGTCCTCTGCCGGGATCTGAGCGTGCTGGATCAGCTTGTTCAGGTTTTCCTCGGTGATACCTGGAAATGCAATGGGGAGATGGTGTCCTCCTGAGAAATGCTTCCCGGTGGGGACGCAGCCCCTCCGTTGTCACCTTAGGACACCTGGCTTGGTGGTGGTCGGGGAGACAGGGCTGAACTTTTCCATCTGGCTTATCTTGGCCAAACCCTGAGCTGTTTGCCACCCGGAGCTGCCCACACGTCTTGCCCACCCCTGCCCAGGTGTCCTCCTCACCGTTCTTCAGGAAGATGTAGAGCAAGATGATGCGGATCTTGTCATAGGTGCTGACGTTCCCATCCAGCAGGATGGGGACGATGGCCCTCATGGGGTCCTTGATCTTCTCGCCTTCAGCATCAGTGCCCATGGCCAAATCCTGCGGAGAACACACATACTCATCACCCCACAGCTCAGTGCTGAGCTGTGGGGCGGGAGCTGCCAGCCCCAGTTGTCCCCGTGGGGACGTGGGGCTGGGGGAGCTGGTACCTGTTCGACTCTGCAGAGCTTGTCCACCGTGCCCTGGTAGTGCTTCATGCAGTCCTCAGCCAGGTGCAGGTGGGTCGAGTACTGGGGAGACACAAGTGGTGCAGTCACCACTGCGGTGCTGGCAGCAGCCGAAGGTCCCCGTGCCACCACCGCGGCCTCAGCCCCTGCCCACAACCAGGGACCCTCTGGGGAGAGCTGCCATCACCTGGCTCCCTGGGTGGGCTCAGTGCCAGCCGCTCTGCACAGACGTCTTCCCCCCCACTCCTCGTACCTTGCTGAGCTCCTTCTGGTACTGCGGCATCTTCTTCAGCATCTGGGACAGGTCTCTCATGGTGGTCTGCGAGGGAAGGGGACACGGTCGCTCACCCTCTGGGACTTAGGGACCATGAGCAGAGAGGGGATGACCCTGCCAAGGACTTCTGTCCCCATGCGAGCCCCTCGCAGGGGTTTGGTGATGCCTGCCGTGGCATTGCTGGGTCTCCTCCGCTGCAGCTGAGGGGCAGGGAGGGGGTCTGCAGCTCTGCAAACTGGAGGGGTGGGGGGAGAAATCCCCCCCCAGGGGATTGCACTTGGCTGAGGCTGAGATGGTGCTTTCAGCTTCGGGCCACTTCTACATCCTATTTCCACTGGGGTCCCCTCACTGCCACCGACTCGGGGTCTCCGCAAGGGAACCAGCCGGGGACAGAGGCAGCCGCTGTGGGATGGGCACAGACCCCCATGCCAGGGGCAAACCGACCCCCACAGTGCGGTGCTCCCAAGGCACCCCCTTTCCCCAGCCCCAGGCGTAGGGATGGCACCCCCTACCCCCGCCAGGGACCTGAGCACCCTTGGTGCTTTGCAGAGGTCCCCATCAGGCATCCCCCAGGAGAGTCCACCATGTGCTAGCCCACGGCAGAGCTCCCCGGGTGCCTGTCCCCAGCTCGGCGGGCACAGTCAGGTCACCTTATCGCCCGTGTTCATCCTCTTGCTTGAAGAAAACTCCTTCAGGGACCGGGTCACCTCCCTGGGGAGAGGAGGAGGGCACAGCTGTCAGCGGGGAGGGGACCCCAACAGCGGGGTGGGTGGCAATGCCGAGCCAACATCCCACCCAGCTGGCAAACCGCCCACAGGGACACTCACTGGGACACCTCGGCGATGTGTTTGTGGCGCAAGGTGACCCACAGGTCGTCGTCCTCATCCAGGAGAACCTCCTTAATCCGGGCTTCCCCGATGCCGCTCGTCTCATACCTGGGAAGAGGACAGGGAGCGTCACGGCAGGGATGGGGCTGGGGGGGCACGCGGTCCCCTCAATGCCTTGGCTCTAGGGAGGTAGGGGAAGATGGGGGGACATGGGGGCTCTTCTTGGCTCTGCCAGCAGCGAGGTGAAGTTATTTCAACTCGGTTTCACATCTCGCCTTCTTGTACCCCTTCAGCTGCTAAATGTTGGGAAGGGGCAAGGGTTGAAGGCTAGAAAAGCCCCTTTTGCATCAGTCCTGCCCATCACGCCTGCCAGGCTGCAGGCAGGAATGGTTTCTCCCCACCAATGACTTGTGATGGATGGAGGGATGCGGAGGCTCAGACTTCATGGCTGAGCTTCCAACTCCTGTTCGAGGGCTGGACTCGTGGGGGCCATGGGGGTCGCAGGGACGGCAGCGCTGCACTCACTTGTAGACGTCGTTCTCGATAGGCAGCAGGTCGTAGCTCATCGCCTGGAAGGTCAGCTCGTGCAGCACCGGGGAAGCAGGGTCAAAGCCGCGGTCCAGGATGAGGAGCTGGGAGCGAGCTTTGTCCGGACCCTGCAGAGCAGAGGGAAGCCGTCAGCAGCAGGGCCGGGGGCTCCTCCAGCCCCGCAGGCGGTCAGGGGAAGCCGGGGCCACTTCGGGGTCCCCGCTCGGGGTCTGCGACTGCCGCACGGCAGAGCTCGAGCAGGACTTCAGGAGTGAAGCATCACCCGAGCATCCTCCCCCGGGGCTGCCGGCACCGTCCCTGCTCACCTCGCCCATGGTGGGGTCATCAGCCTTGTAGGCGTCCAGCTTGTCCTGGATGAGCTGCGCCAGCATGGCATTGTCCTTGTAATCCCTGGAGGAGGCAGGAGGAGAGGTCAGCTCCCCGGGGCGGCTGGCTGTCGCCAGCGGGGGATGGGGAGGAGCTGCTGGTTTCCCTGTGCAACGTCCTTGGCTCATGGGAGAGGAGGGACCTGAGCAGGTTTTGTTGCCTCTTTCCACCTCTTCTTGGGGTGCCCTGCTTTGCCTTGGTGCCACTTGGATTTTAGGCTCCCACCTCCCCAGCTCTCCAGAGCATCACCCGAGTCTGAGCCTGTTTTTACGCTGAGCATGGGTGTCTGTCCGTCCCACCATCGCCATCCCCACGCCCTCACCAGCACCGGACACAGCCTCATCCGTGCCCTGTGCTCAGCACTGCCCCAGCTCCACCGCGCTGCTGGGGGTGAGGGCAGGTCCCGGGGGGGTGCAGACCACGCTGCCCTTACCCCCTGTACCGCACGGCCGGGTACTCCTTCAGTGTGGCGCACAGCGTGGCGATCTGCTCCGCCAGGCGCTCCAGGATCGGGTTCTTCATCTGGGCCTTGTGGGGGCTGTAAAAGCTTTGGAAGGAGTCGGCCGAATCCAGGGAGTAAACCTGGGAGGTGCAGCGGGAGGGAGGTTAGAGGGGATGTGCTGCAGGGGACGTCCGGAGGAGAGCAGCCCCGCAGGACACCCCAGTGGGTTTGGAAACCAGATTCAACCCCAGACAAAGGTCCCCAGTTGAGCCTGGGACCGGGCAGCCAGAGCTCAGTGATGCTTGGGGCATCCCTTGGGCTTTCGGCTGCCAGCTCTGGACCCTGATGCCTTCCCCAGCTCCGGCTCTGCAGCACAATCCCTACCCATGTGTAGCCCCCCGGGGTGAGCAGAGGAGGCAGGAGACCCCCTGCCCACAGCAGTCATCTGCTCTCAGGCAGGGAACCAGAGACCCAGGGACAAGCGGGGACACGCTGCTCCCTGGCTGTGCCACCAGTAAAGACCAGAAGCCAATTTGGCTGTGTGTGGGGATGCCAAGAGATCATCTTCTGCCTGTCTTCTCCCCAGCAATGCTGAAGCTTGAAGGGTTAATGGCACCAAGTGGGTCCGGCACCATCTGTCCCTCCCTGTCCCCCTCGTGTCCCCATGTCGCCAGCACGGGGCCAGCTCCCCGGTGCCCTTGGCTGGGGGCTGTGCCGGGGGGGGGTGCAGAGCTGGCCAATGTGGCTGCCGGCACGGGGCCAAGGCGTGGTGCCTGCTAAATCCCCTGTGGCAGATCAGCCCCGAGAAGTAATCGAAGGAGACAGGGAGGAAGAGCTGAGCAGGAGGCGAAGAGCCGGCCGGGGGAGAGGGGTGTGAGGCTGCTACACAAACCCTGGTGGGCTGGAGAAGGACCCGGAGCATCCCCCGGCTGTCCCATCCCCTAGACCACCCCAGCGGCGACGGTCCCCAGCCCAGCCTCACCTGGGACTCGGAGGGGAGGAAGGCAATGTTGATCTCCGTCAGGGTTTTGATGACCTTGGCAGCACGGGATTTCACCAGCTCGTTGAAGAGGGCGTCGGGGCAGGCTGCAAGGAGAGGAGGAGGAGGGTAGCGCTCAGCATCCCAGCATCCCTCCATCCCCGCTTGCTTGCATGCGTTTTAGTGACAGAGACTTTCCCTGCCCTCCGTTTCTTTCTTGGAGGAGGGCTGGCTGCCTGCAGCACCTGCCCTGGGGCACAGGGATCCAGCCATCCTTTTGGGAGCGGGTGATGGAAACCACCCGTCTGCACTTGCAGCCGCCCAGTGCCATGGGCAGGATGGGGCTGTCACCCCACGGTTTGCTCTTTCTCCTTCTCTCTTGCCCGGGAGGTGGCAGTGGGGAGCTGGGGGTCCGGGGTGCCCAGGCAATGGGGTGGGAGCTGCGACCCCCAGATACTCACAGTCAGTGAAGAAGACGTGGGCAGCTCTGTACTTGGAGGTGGGGGGATCCTTGAAGTCGTTGATGAGGGAGTGGATGGACTGCAAGAGAGAAGGGAGCAGCTGGGCTGGGCAGGGTGGCACCGCGGGCATCTCGGCAGGGTCACCCAGGGTCCTCCCTCCTGGCATGGTGGAAGCTCTGCACCTCTGGTCCACCGCCCCAGCGGCACCATGTTGGCCTCGCTGGAGCCAAGATGCCATCCCCGGGTGGGCATCCCTCTGCTTCCCCCCGGCCAAAGGCCGTGCCCCCACACCGCGTATTCACCTTCTCGGAGGGGGTGATGAGATAGACGGCCTCCAGGCTGGGCAGCGGCTCCCGGCGCTTGTTGATGTCTTCCACGACTGGGGGGGAAAAAACGGGGGCCGTGGCAGGGACGGGTGCAGGCAGGGGCACTCGGCTACGCAGGATTGTTGGATATCCCACGGCAGCACAGGACCAGCCCTGCCAACCCCTCCGTGTCCAAAATGTCCCCAGCCACCCGCCCCTGCCCAGCCGGGAGCTGGGACAGGGGCTGTCCCCACCCCATCCCAGCCCCACAGTGCCCTGCTGGGGCTGCGGGCGGGGGTGCCTGGCAAGGTCCCGGGGGGCCGGTGGATTTGTCTGTGTGCTCCCATGCTGCTGTTGCCTTGGTTTATTCTCACATCCCTCCGCTGGAGGGGACCGCCCGGGGGTGATGCTCTGGTGGTACCTGGGCTGGGGCAAACCCCCGCTGCCCGAAACACCTCCCGATGCACGGCCTGGGGTTTCCTTCTCCTTTCTGAGTGCTGCAGGGAGCTATGTATAGGGCTGACATAAAATAACACTTGGTCTCCTCCTTGGACTGAGATACTGCCAGGAGACAAGACGTTTGGGCTCCTCCAGCCCCAGCAGGCAAGGAGGGAGGCTGTGAAACATCAGCCTGGCACCAAGACAGTCTTCCATGAGCAATGGGAGGTAGCGTGTCTCCATCCCAAGCGGGATGGGGCTGGGTGGGGGCCGTGCTTCCACCTCGACCGGCTTGTGCCAGCCTGCAGATGCCTTTGCGGGTCCCCTGGTACAGAGGGAGGTTTTGCCCTTCCTACAATGAGGTTTGCGAGAGACGGCTGGGACCCGGCACTCACTTGTTATGCCCTCCGTCATGATGTCGGTCATCTTGCAGCAGGAGGAGAGCATGCGCATGCTGAGCTGGTCCACCACCAGCACCTGGGGAGAGGGGCTGTGAGCTGGGGGCATGGCAGGCAGCCAGGGAACTGCCCTTCCCCACCCCTTCCCCACCCTTGGGGGCTCTCTGCCCACACCCACCCCCTCCCTGCTTCCTCCTCCCCACCCTCCTCCTCCTCCTCTCCCGGCCCCCCCAGGGTTTGGCACTCACCTTCCATTCGCCCTTCTTCTTCACTTTCCGGATCACATCGTGCATAATCTCTGCAAGAGAGGGAGCACGGGGGTGGGTGAGCACCCCAAGTCCCCCCCTGTAGCACCCCAGGGCCCGTCGGCAGCAGCGGGGTCTGCACTGGGGGCACTGACCCCCCCCACCTGTGTGCGGGGCCATGGCGAGCCCCACTCCCCCAGTGCCTTTCCTGGGAATATGGGGAGGAGATGGGGGGTGGTTTTGGGGTACCCAGGAAGGGGCGGTCAACCCCCAGCCCTGTTTTTCTCTTGTGCTTGGCACTAACAGACGGAGCCCACGCCGGTGGGGAGCCACGGGCTGGCAGAGGGTTGGGGGGTCCCTCTGGGGAGCCTGGGGGCCACCCCACGTGTCTCGGCCCTAATCCGAAGTGCCGGGAAAACAACAGTGGCTTAAGAGCTCCTTTTAGAAACAAGAATCAAGCGGCCTGAGCCTGTTCCTTGTAATCCCTCGCAATCTCATTTCACCTCCCGCGGCTGCTGGGCTTATGCAACGGGCTGGGATGGCAGCACCCGCGGGTCCCCCCGTGCCCCAGGGACCCCTCGGGGCTGCAGCCACCCTGCACCCATACTCCCAGGCACAGACACCCTGCTTCTGCCCCGGGCCAGCCTGCGGGGCTGCTCCCCGTGGGGTGCAGGTTAAGGCCATGCGAGGAGGTGGCCCCAGCAGTGGGGTGGGGATGTCACCTTTTGGGGCTGGGATTTCAGGAAAGGGGTTTCAAGCCTTGCCAGAATAGGTACTTGCACTCCTGCCAGACACACGTGCTGCCTAAACATCTGCGTTGGGGGACATGAGGTGCCCCCAAAACCCTAAAGGTCCCCTTTTTACCCTGGTCTATGAACCATCACCCCTCGCAGAGCAGGGACACACCGGGGAACTACCCGGCTGAGCCCAAGGGAGAGTCTGTGTCCATGAGTGGCTGTGCCATGTCCTCCGCGTGGTGATTCTCCCTGGCTTTCTCCCCTGGAGGGTTTTGCTCTGTCCCTCTGGTCCCAGGGACAGCAATGGAAATGCCCAATTAAAACCCAATTAAGAGATGTTTCTAAATTAGAAAATACGCGAGGTGTGGGGAGCCCGTTGTTGAGGGTGTCAACCTGCCAGCCTCAGCCTTGGGACCCTTCCCCTGTGGGAGTGACCCCAAGGGTGCCAGTCCACTGGTAAAGCTCAATTTGGGTTTATATGGGGCAGTCTGGGGCTTAAATTTGTCCCTTTTTTAGAATAAGGCTTGAGGGAGGTATGCAGAGGGGACTGCACCCAGCCCTAGAAACTCCTGCTTTTGGGTGATGCTGAGTTTGGGCAAAACACCCCATCTGCCCAGCCCCCATCCCTGCTGGCGATTTGCACGGGTACGAGCGGCTTGGGGCCGGCTGGGGCCTCGCAGCCGCCCTGCGCTGCACGGAGCATCCTCACCGGGAGAGCAGAGGGGCCCTGCCAGGCTCGGCCCCGGCCCCGGCCCCCGGGGGTGATGCTCCCCGTGGTTCCCCCACGCTGCTGGGCTCCTTCACCGTGCTGCCATCCAAACACCCCATGGTGATTTCACGGGCTGAGCGAGGCTGTAACACCTCCCGGGCTGCCTACGGGGCTCAGAGCCACAGCACCGGGGTGGGGACTGGTGCCAGCAGGGATAAAACGGGAGCCTGTGAGCATCGCTGGTCTGTCTGTCCTGCTGTAAAACTTGGCGGCAGCCATTCCTACCGCTGTACATCCACCTCCTTCCCAGCGACATCTGCCTTGGGGGAGCCCCAGGAGGATACTGTCCATGAACTCGGGGTCCTGCCTGCCCTTGGTCACATCCCTTAGCCTCTCCATTGGTAAAGGGGGTGCAGGGTACTTCTGGGCCAGGGAAGGGGGGATGGAGAGTAATTGGGTACAGATGGTCTGTACCTCTGAGCCCCCGAGCTGGACACTGCTTGAGGGGAAAAGCTGCTGCAAGCACCCATGTGCACTGCCCACCCGAAGCCGGGTCACCCACGCAGCAAAAAAGTGAACCGGGAATTGCCCTCCGCTGTGGGCAGGAGCCGGCAGCGAGGGCTGTCCGTATGTCCCCGGTCCTGCTCTCTGGTCCTTCGCTGGTGCAGGAGCGGGGCCGGGAAGGAGGGATGCCAGCGCATCCCTCCTCTTCCTTTCATTACTCATGTTTGGCTCCTTCCCCGGAGCAAGGATCCAGAAATAACAGTGCTGTTTACAAGGCAGCACGCACGCGCCCTCCATCCCACACCAACAACCTCAATCGCAAACAACAGGGAGTAAAGCACGGGGGGGCCGTGGCGGTGCACCACATGCCGGGTGGCAATACTGGCCGGGAAGGGGTCAGGGTCTGGCTGTGAGCAGCCAGAAAGAAATCCTGCCCCTGCGATGAAAATACCGCTTTGCTCTGGGGCCGGGAGGGGAAGGAAGGAAGGAGGCTGGGAACGAGCATTTTGGGGCCCAAGGGAGGTGCTGTTGGTGCAAAGGCTCCCGCGGCTCGGCTGGCGCGGTGCTCCCCACACCCTGGAAGGAAGGAGGCTGGGAACGAGTTGGGGCCCAAGGGAAGGTGCTGTTGGTGCAAAGGCTCCCGCGGCTCGGCTGGGGGGGGCTCCCGTGCTGTTGGTGCAAAGGCTCCCGCGGCTCGGCTGGCGCGGTGCTCCCCACACCCTCCGTTTGCTGCGGCAAGGGCGGGACGGGGGCTCAGGACAGGGGAGCCCGAAAAGGGCTGCCTCAGCCACCCCTGAGCTTGTCCTCGCTGTGGCAGCCGCTGCAGGGGACATTTCGTCTTCAGCGCCTGGCTTTGTGGGAACTCTCTCTCCCTTTTGCATATGTATGGGTTGAGCTGGATGCGTGCGATGGGGAGAGCGTCTGCCTGGCTGTGCACCTCCCAGTGCAAGAAGTGCTGTCACGTCCCCCGGCCTGATCCTGGCACCAAGATGGGCCTCCCAGAGCAGAAACTGGGCACCTCTGAGGGTGATTCCTCTGAGCTTTGTGGGTTTAGGGCAGCAATGGGTCCCCACTGGCACCAGGGGCCAGCCCTGCTCCCAGCCTGCTGCAGAACTGCCCTGTGCCTGGGCTGCAGCCAGGCACAGCCCTTCCCTAAACCGATGTCCTCTCCTGCCTTGACCATGGGTCCGACCTGGCTGCAAAGTTAAGTAGCCTCCAGGTCTGCTCTTCCACCGGCTGCCAGAGCCAGCTCAGACCCCGGGCAGGGTTGGGAAAGAGGCAGATCCACAGAGCATCCTCCAAAAAGGCTCCGGGGCCCTGGCCAGGCGCGGAAGGGCATGAGACACAAACCCGAGCAAAAGCTTGAGATTACAATGTCCTGTTTGGAGGAGACGTGGCCATGACCTGCACCTCCCAGGTGCCCTTGCAGCAGCCATTAAACCCCCAGGTTAGGGAAGAGTGGTCTGTTAGCGCTTGGGTGGACCAAGGGGCAACGTTAAACGCTGCGGGTGGCCAGGTCTGGCATGGAAAGGGAGAAGACGTGGGAATTTTGAGGTCAAAAGGTACAGTCCAACAGGGTACAGCTGCTCCCTGGGGCTGTTCTGGCTAATGTGGCTGCTAGCGATGGAGGTGGGGCTGCAAGACCGAAGGCTTGGCCAAGGCCAGAGCTGAGAAGACACCCGGACCTGTCCTCAGAGCAGGGCAATTTCTAAGCAGCCTCTCTGGCAAGGGCACATCTAACCAGGAGAAGGGATGCCAGCACATATGAGCTATCCAGGATGAGCAATGCCAGGGAAGGCATCCTTGAGCCAATTCTGCACTCAGTTATACAATCAGCAAGAGACTCCTGGGGGAAACAGCAGCTCCTCTGTTCCCCGAGGTCCTCAAGTCAAGCCTGGACACCTCCCGGGAAGCAGTGCTCTCACGTCCCCACGTTAGCAGGTCAGATGTTGCCGCCCATGTCCCCAAATGGTCTGGCCAGCCAGAGCTTTTGGGCTTTAACGTCAGTCAGTGACGCTCACAGTCAAGCTTTTCATCTTGGAGATAAATCAGGTTTCAGGGGAAAAAATGCGTATGCGTATCTCATCCAGTGCCTTCAACACTTGGCTTGTCTGGACCTACCACGTTGCATCTGTTTCCTTCAGGCTGGAAGAATTTTAATTACAATTTCTACGAGAACAGACAATACAGACAGCTCTGGACTTATCCTCCAATGTGGAGACAACATCAGTGCCTATGGACAAGGAAGCACATCTCACCCACAAACGGAGGACCTCCAGTGCTCTTGAGTAATATGGTCCTAAAAGTACAATCATGCAGATGACATGCCTGAGAGCAACCACCTCCCCCAGCCCACCACCTGCAGTTAGGCTTGTTCTCGGGGTGACACGTGGCATGAAAATGACCCACTGCATTGTTTCCAAGCCGGGCCAGAAGCTGGTGACATGGTGGCCTAGTAGGACTTGAGCCCATACGTCACTCGAAGAGGCTTATCCCACGTTATTTATACCAAGCTGGCTGGGCAGCCTTCCTCTGAGCCTGCCTTGCCTCGCTTGTTCATGGCAAAAGCAACCAGCCCCATGTCTCCAACTGGTTCTGGGGGAAGAGGGACCAACCCTGCCATCGCTTGTGCCCACACCAACAAAGCTGTGACCAAGCACAGCCTGTGCTGAGACAAACTCATCTTGGGATGCCCCAAGCCCTGCTTCAGAAAGAGCCTGAAACCTAATGAGCAGCCCTGACCTCCGCCGGTCGGTGGAAGCAGTAAAACCTTGTCCTGGCCACCACCCCATCCTGGAGCACCAGGACGGGTAAGGGACACTGCAGCCAGGGGGATATTTCTGCTCTAGCGCTGACCCAAGCCTGGCCTGTGCCAGCAGCGATGGCCAAGCCCTTCCCTCCCGGAGCAAGGCAGGAGGCCAAACTCCTGCTGCTCAGAAATGCTCCTTTGCTGCCACATCCCAGGACCCCACAGGCTGCACGCCTTGGCCTGATGTGGTAAGGGAAGATGGAGTTGCTTTATGGATGGGCAACAGGTTGCAGGAATTGCCCAGGGTCCTACAGGAGACGAGTGGTCCTAACCGTGGGCTCTTCCCTGT